GCCAGCGTGTCGAGCGCCAAGCGCGTGAAGTCGTCGGTCACGGCGATTGGCGATTGCGGCCCGTAACGCGCCCACTTCATTGCCAATTGGCCTGCAACGTCGTGCATCTCATCGAACATGTTACGAATCGAGAGAGGGCCGAAGGCGGGCATGAGCACGCGGTGAGCGATGCCCCAGTTCTCCTCGCCCATTTTCGCCTGCATTCGCGGTCAGCATCGGAGTCCAGTGCTTCACTGCGTCGTCAAAACTTACTGTGAAAAGTCCGTCGTGCACGCCATTTCGGATTTCCTTATCGGAGGTCAGACATCACGAGCGAGTCCTACATAAGATTCCATGGAGAGTGACTTACATTGAGAGCCTGGTTTACAGACTTTTTGAACCGCTTCTCATCGCATGTCTCATTCACCAGTGCCTGGGTCGAAACCATAACGATGGAACGGCCAGGAAATCTCAATCGGTAGATCTCACCTTGGCTCAATATCAGCTACGTCACGTCGATAAAAAGGGGCCCACCAGTAAGGGGTAAAAGTTACCATATTGGTCAGCGAGAGATAGCATGGACCCTAGAGGGAATTCGGAGTTGATCTCATTGATGTTGCCGAGGATCGGCAGCCCAGGGGGCTCAGGAACGGGCACCGCTTCTGACATGCTGTCGTCGCGATGTGTCAGTGTGCGTATAACGTGTGGCGGGGTGGTATCGTATGCGGTGTTGGACCCTTGGCAAGATGAACTGGATACAATTCTACTACAGAAGATATAGCAGGAGAAAGGAGGGGGCAGAGGCCTGATAATATTCAGAAATAAAAACCGGCCGAGTCACCTTGCGTGGCTAATCTCTGCGCGCTATTTGGACTTATGCCTCGGCCCGCATTGTCATGCGTGGAGTACCAGGATGAAGGCTGGTATCATGCCATGAAAAAAGAGTACCCATTCCCACTTTTCCATAGGCGAACAATCGTGAGGTGGGACTGTTACGGCGTCGTCAATGGTCGAGATGAACATGATGGTGCGGCCATCCACTAGGTTCGGCCACGCCGTCCGTCCTATCCGCCAGTGAGTAAGGCAGCCGGAGCAAGCCCAAACCCGCCCCGATGTTGTCTACATAGTAATACCAGGTAGTGCTTATCTGCTACAGTGCTGCGTCCCTTTGGTAGCTGCTCTGTCCTCGTCCATGGTAATAGACTGACTGCCCATGTGGAACATCCGATGCCTGCAGGCGGTGAGTCAGTAGTCCTGCTGTGCTACCATGGCAAACCGAGAATTCCCCGCAATTCAAGACACAAAAGCTACACTTAGTGAGGATTTGTGCTGAGTTTGCCGACAGGCCCTCCTAGGTCGAGTGCTGACGCCGAGGTAGGGTATACCGCTCCGCTCCGTCGGGCAAACAGAACTCGACCACCCTCCCGTTTCCGTCTAATCCATGGGTTCCGGCGGTCTCACGCATCGTCTCAATCTCCGGCGGGGCTTCCGCTGGATACCGAAATCCATTGTCCGAGTCGTGAATGGCAGTGTGGGAGACCACCAGCGCTCCTCTCAACAGTTTCAATCTGCCAACAACGACCCCGGCCCCTTGGACCCGAACTCCGAACTTGAGTCTGGTTCCTGTATCCGGGTCGTCTGCGGGGAACAGAGACATGATGATGCAACACAGCAAACTGGCGCTTTTTAGTGCCTTTCTCAGCGAGTGAAAGTTTGGGTCTGCAGCCACGCAACTCAGAACTGCATCCGACACTGACGCGTACACCCAAGCAAGGAATCAACCGGCCTCTGCAGATGTGGGTTGTTAATAAGTTTTCATTCGGTTCTTGCTTTGTTTTGTCTATCACGCGGCAGAACGGATGTTTCTCAGTCCATTTCGGGCGCGACTTGGCAGAAATGCGCAGCTTTAGCGGGTGTAATGGCCGGTAGGCTTGTTGTTGGACACTTTATCATCCGCATAAGGAATGGGAACGCATCGACTCTTTGCCTATAGCTTGACGCGCTATATATATTTGCATATTTCTAAACTTGACGATCGGCGCCTTGTGACAGAATCGACCCATTGCTATGGCTTCCACTGGGGCACTAGCTTTCATCTAACATAGATTCTAGTGCATGGACGCTTTGAGGGACCCTGGCAGTGATCCAATGCCCAGCAGGAGCTTTGTTTTACTTTTAGTTGTGGCTTTTCGCGTCAAACCTATCGGTAACGTTTCGTGTCCCATCACAACGGTCGGGACGACTGGTCATATCTCTCGCATCAGATACACAGTTATTCTCTCAGTCAATCAAGTTATAGTTGAACCAGAATGAATTAATACAGAATTTATTGTTGTGGTGATGTATCCAGGACTGTAAAACACTACCAAGTCTTGGACTCGCGTGTGTTGTAGCCGCACTCAGGCGGGGACAAGCACATTGCCCAGATGACCTAAACAGCAGCTTTCGGAGGCTGAGGTGGTTCAAAGGAACACTCCCTGTCGGGCGAGGGATGATGATATGGAGGATATGGAATCTATCAAGCATTGGTAGGCTTTTGTTGGACGGTTCTTCTGCAGCAGAGGAGAGGACTGATTGCCGGAAATAATGAAGGTTCTCTGAGCAGCTGCCGTTTCAATTTCAAGGCGAAAGATACCTTGGCACAGCGTCTCTCATGCCAAATCATTCAAGTCCATAGGGAAGTCAGGGTTATTACCTAGTCGAAGGTGACGGTCAAAACGCAGCGTCTTCTTCGTAGGCTATCTCCACAATTCACCAGGTTCACAAAGGCTCGACCATGTGAAGTTTCGAGTTTATTGGCCGCTAGGGGTAACTGAGCATCGAAACAGATCCTTCACATATTCGCCTCAAATTTTGATTTTATGCCCAGAATATGCCTCGAGATCGAGAAATTCATCTTGTACAGAACTGGAGCGCGAGGGTCTAGGTTGAAGTGCCAAAGTCCACTTGATAGGTTATTAGTGGTTCTCCAAGATACAGGTCCCTATATTAGTTAACGAAGTGGTCTGTCTATATGGGTATGTTCGAAACTTGAATGCCAGAGCTGTTCTACCAAGAATCCTCGGATTAACGCAATATTTTACATTGAACAATAATGAGTCTCGACCGTCTTCCTTGGAAGTCCGGAATTTTCAACATCGTCGTACCTCTTGCAACAGACGTGTTCAAAATCTATTATCTGGGCCGCCTTACGATTCATAGAGACAAAACCCAAAAGAAGTACGTTATACACACGTCTTTGGTCAGAGAGTCTTACTCGAGTTGCAATGTATTATTTATTCCGCCCGCGCCCTTATTCTTGCGAAAATGGTTGCTGTGTGACTAGCCAAATTGGCTCAGGCTGCATGCCGCCTTGCGTGAGATTATCATCTTGGAGGCTTCAATCTTTTTGATCGGGATGCTTGTATCAAAACTGCCAGATGCCCGCCTTTGTTTTGTGTTCCTGAAAGACTTGCACATGTAGCCAGGCTGCAGAAGAGGAAACTAAGCAGCGGGATATATCATATTGCTTCTGAGCTTTGCTTTTAGACGGTCCGCACCTCAGTGTAATTCGCGTGTATACAATTATTTTGCTATTCCACGAGCCTGGAATTCATCCCGAGCCTGCACCAAAATAGGCACCTTGTCCGATATTTACGCTTCAATTGCCCAATCCCGATAATACAAAGACCAAAGGCCCAACTCCGGTCATGCCATGTCATGGTGGCTACGTTGGAAACCCGTCGCATGTGCTGGTGGATCGATGCCGAGGCACCTCGGTTTGCCGCCCCCCGGCAAAATGTGGGACACCACGGCGCTCAGGGGCAAGAAAGTTTCTGGGTTGACCGAGACGGCCACGCAAATCCCGGTTTCTATCTGCTCGAAATCCGGCTCGGTCAAACTGAAATGCCAACGGGATGATTATGAATACAGCCAAGGATCACAGGACACTTACTATCTGTCGTCGGGCCGATATGGGTCCTGATAGCGCAGCAGGGCGTACTGGGTGCATGTTAACGTGAACAAAGTATGAAGTCAACTTTCGTAACCAAGAGCTTGCTGGACTTCATCAAAATCATAGGAAACATGTCGTATTTTCCACTTTTCTTTGCCGGAATTGTGCATGGGAATTTGAAAACGTCAAGTACTTACACTCTGTCTCTGGTTTGGATGCCAAACCACGAGTTGGTACTTGGTAGTGAAGATACCAGTCATCAGTCTCTCTCTACAACAGTCAGCGGAATCCACATCCGAGATGATCGCTGTGGTCTGCAAGCCGTAGGCCAGCCCGCAAGTGCTCTGTTGTACGTTCCAGCATCACAGCCGCAGCAGACGGCTGATGATGTATGTTCCAGGCACCGTGGTCCATTCTATCAAAGGTTCGGAGACAACAGCCAGCTGCCAACTGCGGTGCCGGCCTGGCAGGGAAAGGTTAATAGAGCATCTTCATCCATTCACTCTGTGAGCCGGACACCGGAGCAAAGGAGGAATCAAACAAAGCCAAAGCCAGACGCAGATCATTATTCCATTATCCTTCGTTACATGTCCAACTCCGTACCCGTGACCCATTATTTCGTAATATCATGTACCCTCGTAGGCTCTACGCCCAATGCACCGACTTTCTTTGCCTCCTCCTCGTCTGCTTCTTCTTCATGCTAGAGCAGTAGTGGTAGTTGCTGTGGCTGTTCTGTCCTCCCCCCTGCACGCGCTGGCGAGCGTCCGCAAGCATCTCGCCAAATGTCAAGCTTGACGCGTTAGCGTGCATAGACACGGCGGGCGCACCGCCGAGCTCCCATTCCCATCGACTCCTCTCGACCGTGTCCCCGGCCTTCTGGAGCTTGTGCCGCCACCCCTCGACAAACAACCATGCCAGACGAAAGACGCTCTCGCCAGAGGGCTCTTCGGGGCCGCCCGCCTCGGTCTGATCCGCAGCAACCGGTACCCGCAGGCCGCTGGCGTCTCTCTGGTATTTCCGCTTCGGACGCTCGTCCAGCTCGTCGTACTCGGCATCCCGCTTCACCCTCTTGACGTTGAGCCCCGCCCCGCCCGAGCGTGGTCAATTCTCGTCCAGCCCGCCAGCAGAGCTCCTCAGCAGCGCGCTCTGCTCGTCTATCTCGTCTTCGACCTCGTTGAGGAACCCGGCCTTGCGCTGCTCGTACCCGGGGCTGTTGCCTCCGCTGCCGGTCTTGGCACGCTGCACGGGGTGGAAGACCCCGGACACGGGCCGTGATCGGGCCGGGCTCGCCGGCTCTTGCTTGGTCTGCGAGTTCTCGAAGATGCCGCGCATCCTGCTGATCAGGCCCCCGGGCGAGCTGCTCGACACAGAGTTCCGATGAGGGCTGTCCGAGACGGACCCTACGGAGCCCGATGGCCCGCGCATCGCCTTGACGCCGCCTTCGTACTTGAAGGGGTCGTAGTCGTCGCGGTCCGTCAGTGTAGAGTCGTTGCGTGGCCTCGTCAGATTGTGCATGGAGGCCGGCCATGAGTCCCGGATGACAGGCTCGTGCTTGTCAACATGCAGCGCCGAGTGCACCGGCGAAGACGCCATGGAGTCGATGGTACTCTGGCTTTGCACCGAGTACGGCACCGAGTCGGACCTGTCGCGCCATGGCACATGTGTCACGTCGCGCGGGATGATCAGCTCGGGATCAACACCCCCTTCCGCGGCGGTCTGAGCAGGCGGCGTCTGCGGCCGTTCGGGATTGTGTCTGCTGAACGCGAGGCCGCGAGAGGGGGTCCCCCGCGATGACGGCGTCGCAGGCGATTCCTGGTGCAACGCCATGGGGCTGACGTCCGGGTGTTGCTCGCTCTGCTGTGGCGCCAGATGCGGAGTTCTCTGCTCGTCATCCTCTTCTGCTTGGAAGCCCGATGTGTCTACTTGAATTTCAGGTCGCGACGCTGTCGGTTGGGCAGACTGCGCTTGCGGTTGCTCCCAGGAGCCTCCGGTCATCCCGAAAAGTTGCGTTTCGAGAGGCATCTGGCCGTATGGATGCTGTTCAGAACCCTGCGGGCGGGCGTTCAGGTCTTGCCCGTGCAACTGTGGTTGTTGATCACGCACTTCTTGGCCATGAAATTGAGATTGCTGCGGCACGTACGGTTCCTGAGCGTGAAGTTCCGGCTGGCGTGCGGACTGAGGGGGAGATGGATGGCCAGCATCGGATTCATCACGAAGAGACTGCTGGACATCTTCTCTAAAAGAACCCGAGCGGCTGGTTCTTGTAGCACCAAATAGGACGGGCGATCTGAGCTCGTCACGCCACGATGTTGCCCCGAAGCGAGCAGATGCGTGCTGCGCCGGGTGCTCGTCAGGGGTGATCACTGCGGTTTTGGGGCCGTCCTCTTCATCGCTGTGAGATGTGGTGACAACCCGCTCCACAATAGGCTCGTTGGAGTGGTGTTGCTGCTGCTGCTGCTGGGAGGTGAAGCCTTGGGTGAGGAACGCAGGTGCTTGGCTGTGGTCGTACTCGCTGACGTCCGAGTCCGAGTCAGAGTCATGGCCTTGGGCGAGCTCTTCGGCCAGCGACGATTTCCGGTCAAATGACACGTCTTGGCCGTACGAGGGACTCGTGGCCCCTCGGTTGTAACTTTGGTCGTAGGTGCTCTTGAGGCCGGCCGATTCCGGATGTCGTGGCGAGTCCATGACCCCTTGTGCGTACTGCGAAGACGCGCTGAACCCAGCCGAAGGCAACGGGGTGACGTACTCCTGAGACTCAGTGTCTGTGAAGTCTCCTGGCCCGGATTGTTGGAGATAAGTGGATGTTGTGGAAATACGGTCATTGCTCGCATTCGACCATTGTTGTTTGTAGTCATCGGCGTGCAGCTGGGACGTGGGAAGCGCGGGGGATGTCGAGTCTGCCGAGTCGGCTGCGTGTGTCTCACCGCGCTGCCCAATGTTCTCCCAAGAATCATCGCTTTCTTCCCCTTCTTCTTCTCTTTGATGACTTTGTAGGTCCTGGCTGCTTGTTTCCGGTGCCGACTCTCTGAATGCTGCTGGCTCCGTCGCATTGGTCTGAGCCATCTGATTGCTTGCCCCCATCAAGTTCGTTGTCTGACCATACTGATTAGCTTCCCATGCCTCCTCATTCTCCTCTCTGTCCGAATCTTCGAGTTCTTGACGGTAGTGGCCCTGTGCACTGGTTGTACGCGCAGGCGGAGGTGATGGCGGGGCTGTCCTGTATTGCGACGTCGACAGACTTGAAGTCTGGCCGGGCAAGGTGGCTTTCGAATCCCATTCATCCTCTTCGTCATACGAATCCTCAAGATCCTGGCGGTACTGTCCGTGAGAGCTTGGGGCTCCCGGAGGCGGGGGCGGGGTGGCCCTAGACTGAGATGATGATGAAAAGGGGAACTGACCAGGTCGAGCTTGGTCCTCACTTGAGTCCTGATGCTCTTGATTATCGAGACCCTGAGAGCTGGGGGCACGTAGTGGAGGTGATAGTGGTGGTGAAGGGGTCGCCCGGTTCTCCGACAATGACATTGCACTAGGCATGTTAGGCTGGGTAATGCTCGCGGGCAAGACAACTTGATCTTCCTCATCTGAATCCTCGACCTGCAGTTGGGTTTGATAGAGGGAGCTGGGGGCGAGGGGAGGCAGTGGGCCAGACGCGGGGTCCGAGTCTTCCGGTTCCGGTTGCTGACTGTAGTGTCCCTGAGAGCTGGGCACGCGGTGAGGAGAAGGAGGGAGGGGCGTTTCGCTATCCTGGGATGATGAGAGAGTGCTTGTCTGTACGGGATGAGCTAGATAAGCGCTGTAGATATCATCGTCGTCTTCGGACGAGTTCTTCACCTCTTCAGAGTTGAGGTCGTGGGGGTTCAGAGAACGTGAGGGGGAGGGAGGGGGAGGGGAGCTTGGTCTGTTTTCGGGAGATGTCAACACATTATCCATACGGTCGCTCTGGGGTCCGCGAGATTCCAAGTCTTGCTCCTCGTCAGAATCTTCAAATTCTTGAAAGGAGCGCTCAGCGATGCTCGGCATAGGGGGGATGGCGTGGTGCTGCGAAGCTGGCAGTTGCTGAGAGGTTGTGAGGCTCTCTGGCTCTTCCGAGTCGGATTCCATATCCTCCAACTCGCTGTTGTAGCGTTCCTGGATGCTGTCCAGAGATGACGACGCACGATGTCTGGCGGAAAACGGGCTGCTCTCCCGGGCGAACTGCTGAGCGCTCGGGTTCATAGACCCGTCAGCACCAGCAAACGAGTCCTCAAACTCGCCAGTCGGGGATGAGAAGCCCTGATGGGGCCGTGGTTCAGCAGAGCTCACCCCAACAGGACTGCTTGTTGCAGCGAAGGGATTGCTATATGCCGACTCGGGAACTGGCGGGGTAGGTTGTCGGTGCTCGATGTTCTGCGCTGCAGATGCTAGGCCCTCGTTGGCAACGGGGGGGCTGCGCCGCACAGGGAACAAGGTCTTGTATGTTGATTCGGCCGCCGCGAGTGCTTCCTCGTCGTCAGTATCGGTGTCCTCTGCCTCGTAGTGACCTTGCGCGGTGGTTGGCCGGTCAAAGGGTTCTTCGGGGGAGTGCGCAACATCTTGCTGTCCAAGAGGGGCCATGCTTCTGGCAAACGGGTTGTTAGAGCTAAAGCTGTCGCGGTGTCCTTGCGCACTACCAGACCGAGCGAAACTCTGCTCGGGGGAAGATGGCTGGCTATGACCGAGAGCGCTAGCTGATCGCAGGAAGTTTTCGGCAGCACTGGTCATGTTGCGAGAAAGGGGGTTATTGGGAGCTTCCGACGCGTCATCTGTCATCTGGCTGGCGAAAGGGTTGCGCCGCGGTTCCTCCTCGACAACGGTTTCCAGTGCAAACGGGTTGTACGGGATATCCGACGACTGGTATGCTGGTTGCTCGTAGCTTGCAGCATTCGCTCTCGCAAAGGGGTTATAGGAGGCTTCTGATGACTCGTGCATGTCGTCATCTTCCTTCACACTCTGGACAGAAGAGGAGGTGTTGTCTTCTTCCTCGTCAATGTGAGCTCTATCCGAGAAAGCAAATCTATTGTCGTTGTGCTCAAGAGCGCCGACGGCCGGCAAAAGGTTTCCGTGCTGCTGGTCCTGCTCGTAGCCCTGATCTGCAGCCATGCTCGTAGTCTCAGTCATGTAGGAACTGTCAAGCGTGGCATCAGGAGCCACAGAGACGTTGCGGCTCACAGACTCGGGATGGAAGTATTCTTCGGACTTTGCAGCTAGCTCAGAGGTGTCGCCAACAGCAGATGCGGCGGGCTCGGTGTGCTCAGTGAGGGCGGAAAGGTCGGCCTCACGCGAACGATCGACATCATCGAAGCTGACATCGTCGCGAGACGGATCCAAGACTTCAGCTTCAGCATGGTGAGACTCATGGTTCTTGGACTCGGGCTCTAGCGCCACGCTGCTTCCTTGAGAATCGTGCTGATGGGGATCATTCAAGTGACTCTTGTCGCGGGCTTCCTCTTCCTCGTCTGACATCTCAGCATCCTGTTCCCGGTTCTTGTCGTGAACAACGGCCCCAGCCGTCTCTTTATGTGCGGAAATCGGCTCAACGGCTTCTTCGTGGCCATCAGTGACCCCTTTCAGACCGTCGTCGTCGTGGAAATCATCCGAGAGTGAGCTCTGAGTGTCGTGATGCTCAGGGCCTGCCGCGAAAGCTGAGGCACCTTTCTCATTTTCTGTTCTCTCAGCCTCATGGGAAGCACCTGTCTCCTCAGGGACACAACCAGCAGCAGACGAGGGCATTTCTCGAGACTCTGGAGCATCCTCATACTGTTCTGAACCTGGCGGTTGAGCTTTCTCAACTTCAGCATGGGTCTCAAGAGAGTCGGATTTATCAGCCTTGTCGTTCTGGTCTTCTTCGGCAAAGGCAGCGGAAGCCTTTTCCCGGACGTCTTGGTCATCTTCAAGCTTGGTGTCCTCAGCTTGGTCCTCGTGCACCAGATTGTGCGCTTTTCCGCCAGCCTCAACGTCTTCCGTCAATTCAACATCGGCAAGGGCGTTGGTGGCGGCGTCAGGAGGTCCAGCAGCGGAATTGTCCTCAGCTGCGTCAGGGACACCACCAGCGAATTGTTCTTCTGGCGTATGCGAAGTGTCCCCGTGTTTGGGATTTCCATCTTCAAGATCTTTGCTGGTAGCGGTTGGTAGATGTTCTTCCTCCTCTTGGGTTGTCTGGGGCAATTCACTGACTTCCACTGGGGTTTCCTGAGACTCGAGCTGGGGTTGCGTCTCGCTGCTCGTTGTCGACCTCTCTTGTTCAGAAACGTCCTTGACATGGTCCAGGTCTACGACTTGGTCATCTTGTAATTGGCCAATGTGAGTTTCCGATCGGTCCTGGGTCGGGGGTGCTTCAGAAGATGACGGCTTGGCGGCTGTATCCTTTACCTCGGCGGGCTTGACTTCTTCTGAGTCGTCGGCAGCCTTGGCGCTGTCTGGCTCCGTGCTCTTCGCTAGACCAGCTTGCACTTCGGACAAGGACTCATCATCCATTGGTTCTGATCTCTCCTCATTGGAGGCTACTTCTTTGGCAGAAGTCTCTTCCGCTGCGGTAGTCTGTTCTCCAGCAGGTTCGTCGTGCATGGTCTTATCGTCGGCAGCTGGGAACTCCTTGTGCTTGTCTTCGTCGATCATGGAAGCCTTGTCTTCCACTAGTGAATCATCTGCAACACGGTCGTTTTCCTCTTCCTCGAAATGCTCTTTTCTGTCAGGCTCCTCGGGAGAATCATCCTCGACATTCATAGAGACACTCTTGGAAGTTTGGATGATGGGAGAAGCAGTGTCATCCTGAGGAGCGCCGTCGTGCACGGTAGCTGTTCCCATGGCGGGAGATTCAGGCGCCTTGGCGGTCTCAGTTCGAGTGGTCTCTTCCAGAGGGACATCTTCCCGATCTTGAGCTTCCTCGTGCTGAGGAGCATCCAACTCCTTGACAACGCCTCCGGATGCAGGCGCCTCATCGTCAGCTGGAACGTGCTCGAGAGCTAAAGACCTCGAAGCGATTTCAGTGTCCTGGACGGTGTCTTCTTGTGCAGGCGCTGCGTGTTCGGTGGCGGGAGTATCAGACTCCTTGGAGGTCTCCTTGGGCGTAGCATCACTCTCTTCTGTAAGGGCACCAGTAGGTTCCTCTGGTTTAACTGAGGTCTCCGCGAGAGTGGCCTTGTTTTCCTCGTACTTGGATCCTTCTCCGGAAGCGGCTTCGTCCAGGTGTGAGGGGCCATCAACGGTCGCGTCGGATTCTCGAATTGGCTCTCCTTCGACTGCCTTAAAAACAGGTTCGGAGACGTCGCGAGCTTCATTTGAGTCCTTTTCCTGATGCTCCTTGATATCGCCAGTCTCCGGCTGGGCCTCCTCGACCACTTGCTCGGTGCTTTCCGCAGCGTGATCCTCCTCAGAGGCATGCTCGTCAACTACAGCCTTCATGGAAAACTCGGGCATGGGCCTTTCTTTTGTTGTCTCGTCAACATCTTCACCAGAAGCCTTCTCTTCTTTGTCTTTTGGGGTATCATCATGCTCATCCGCTGGGCTGGAGACAGGTGCAGCATCTTCACTGTGGCTTGCAGGCTGCTCCCTTGCTGGTGTGTTGTCCGAAGTTGTTGAATCTTTCTGCTGCTCTTCATTTTTAATGGAGGGCGTGGGAGCACTTGTGTGCTCTTCAGCCAGACCTTGTGCCTCCTCAGCTTGAACAATGGCGCTCTCATCGGATAACGGTGCCTCTTTGTCCTGGGATACATCTTCAACAAGGTCCTTGCCGACAGCGGCGTCGTCGCGAGCCTCTATTGTCGCTACGTCCGTTGCAGGGGCTTCCTCTGCAATCTTGGACTCTGCGGGAGCAGATTCTTGTGATACCGGCTTTTCGGTGGACGGCTCCTCGACAATGGATGGCGCCTCATCCCGTGTGTTCTCGGACGTCTCTTCGGGCTTCTCAGTCTTGCCCTCCTCCTCTACAGGAACAGACCTCTGAAGCTCAACAGGAGTGTCTTCGGTCTCAGCCAGAGCATTCCGTTGGGAGTCTTCAACGGTGGCAGCAGCTGCGTTGCTTAAGGGCTCTTCTGGGACTGATTCTCCGGCATCTTTCGCCGACTCAGCCTCTGATTCGCGTTCGGCCTTGGGAGCGTCCGCCGAGAGGGCCGCCTTGACGGTTGTCTCTTCGGAACTCGCCTTCTCCTCGGCAGCCTTCTCGGACTCCGAGGTGACTGCATCAGTTGGAGGCGCCGCCTCTCTGCTCTTTGTCTCTATGCTGCCAACGTCCTCCTCCACGCTCTTTTCAGCCACGGGTTCTTTGGGTTGTGGCTGGGAGTCGTCACCTTTGGGACCCTTCTCTTCTTCGGCCGGCGCATTGACCTGTGCCTCATCAGACGGCTGGGGGGCCTCCTCTTTTACACTTTTGTCTTTTGGGGCGGAGTCGGCGGGAGCTTCGGCTCGTGGCAGAGGAGACTGTTCGGTTGGTGCAGCAGCAGCACCGGAGTTTCGTACTGTTCTCGCGCGCTTCCGCGTGGGAACGGGAGGCACCGCCGCCTTCATTTGCTCCTCAATCAAGCGGTTGAGTTCCTGGATGGACGATTAGATGAAGCCTCACGAACCAGGCTGCAGTCGAACTTACTCTTCTCTTCTCCTCAAGCTCGGCCAACTTCGCTTCGCCTTCGGCAATCTTCTTGGCCGTCTCTTCCTCGACGTTGTCCATGAGGTTATCCATCTCGTCCTCGACATTACGGGTAGTGGTATCAAATGTGCCTTGCTTCTCCTCGTCCTCTTTTGCTTTGCGGGCCGCACGCTCCTCGTCTTCTCGGCGGCGACGGGCTTCTCGCTCTTCGTCTTCTCTACGCCTTTGCTCGGCGATCTCTTCCAGCTCTTTCTGGCGTGCGGCCGCGAGCTCTTCCTGTTCTTTTTCGTATGCGGCCTTCAGTTCCGCGAGCGTCATGTCACGCTTCTGCTCGAGCTCGTCGAGTTTTGTGTCGCTCTCGGCGGCAGATGTCGACAGGCTCTCGATCGTAGAGTGGATCGAAGCGAGGGCATCGTTCATCTGCGCCACGAGCGTGGCAACGTCTATTCTGGCTGTCATCGGGTGAGTGTGGGGGAGAGTCGGGGCTCTCGATGACAGAGTGTGAGAGAGGGCACTTGTGATTAATCGGCGTGAGGTTTGTTTGGACAATGCCGGGTACTACGTTGCGGGAGAGGCAGGTATTGTGAGTTTTGTGGTTTGGTTTTGTTAGACGTTGATCAAAGTCCTAAAAGCATCACCACAGTCGCGGGGTGGCTCGTCATGTTACGATATATACCACGGTGTATCTGCCCCTCGCCACAAAATAACAAGCAAAGGTACGCGTTCCGGCCGCCAAGTAACACACAGGAGAACCCGGCCCTGCGTGATGCTCCTACAACTATCATGCATGTCCTCGGCCAGGGCCAGGTCTGCCACTGTTACCAGCCAAAACCCCGAGATCCAGAGGAAGGGACTGTGCTTTCGTTCCATGATTGGCGAGCAACACGGCGGATTCTCATCCGATGTTGGTGTTCTAACCGCGGTGGACCCCGTTCGCCCTGCAATGCATGACATGCAAATAAAGGCGATCAAGTTGACAAGGGGACGCCGCGGCGCGGTAATCCTAGGCGTTGCTCAACGCACCCCTAACCACGACCATGGCCATCGCGAGATCGCGCCGCCATCGACGGGGCGTTGAACGTCAGTAATGTCCTGGATGAACCGCCCTGTCGCTGAGCAACTCAGTGCCAGCTGTCAAATCTCGACAGCATCCTCCTTGTCTCGGCCGCGGGTCCTCAGGGCTACCGTCCAAGGGTCTCCGTGTTCCTACAAATCCGATGTCGTGCCACGACACCTTGGCCCCATCTATGTAGTAGTATAGCGGGGGGCCCATCTGGGTCGCCGGGTGTCGATTTGCGCTGCGCTGGCGACATAGGGCATGGACGGGGTCTCCCTGTCAGAAACGAGCATCATTCATGCGTCTGGCATCGAGAGTTTTGAGAGCACAGTACGATCACACACCTCACGTGGAGCCGGCACCGAGCGACCGCTTGGCCGCATGAATTTGGAAAGATAAAAGTGACCAGTATTGCGTCGCATCCGTAGAGTTTCAGGACTCACCCTGCTT